TTTTTTAACTTTATTTTGTTTTTTTGTTATGTTACACGCTCGAGCTACCTTCTTTGTAAAGGCACATGATGCTCATATTCTTCTCTTATCCAACAAGCGAGGAGAACGAAAAAAATATTAAAGACTTATTCTTCGAGTTATCTAGCCGAGCCATAGAAAAGTATTGATTTTTTAATTTATACAAAGTCTAATTATGTCGAGAATAAAGTGCATGTTTGGCTATGCTTAATTAAAAAAATCACTTATAAATAAATAAAAAATATATTATTCTTTTATTGACCAATAAAGAAAACGCAAATCACTGCTAAAATATGAAAATGTTTGCCGTCTTTGATATAAATTATTTAAAATTCATATTTTCACAAACTTATTTTCAATCACACATTCTATTGGACTTAATCAAGAAATATCACTTTTCATGAAATCTATTCTCAAAAAATTTACATCAGACACGCTCTTGACAAACTTTTAGAGCAAATAGACAAGTAAAACATTGTTTTATTATATTGTGCTCTTTTTTGCCCTGGAAAAAAAAGGAAAATTCATTTTAATCGAGTTACTACAGCTCAGTTTCCTTGCAAACTCCATCAATTTGCAATGTAAAGCCGACAGTATAACACTTAACAATATTAAGAAAATAAAAAACAAATTGAAATCTTTTTCACGATATCATTATAAGAGAAAATTGTAGCAGCAGTCCTTAACCTTTTGAATTTTAGTAGACTTTATTCTAATATTCAATTTGTGCCAAAGAAGATCCTAAACCTTTGACAAACTTTGGACCCTACTAATTTTTCAAAGAAATCCACCCCCACCCCCACCACATCCTTCTTCATTTTCTCTGACCAACGAGATTGATTTTCGGCCATGGCCGATTACCTCCATCCACCAACACACTGTTGCATCGACCATGGCCACAACTGTCAGGAATATTGTGTCTAACTCCACCTAATAAAACCGGCTTATTAGGGGAGGATTGCCCTCACCTTATTAAATGGATTATTTATATTTTCCCAAA